CAACCCACACTTCAGTAAAGTTTGAGATAGTTTTTGCAGCATCGAGTGTAGGACCTCCTTTAATGAGACCATCTTCGGCTACTTGGAGCATCAGCAGCCATAGCTCCTTGAAGTGCTTTGCAAAGGGCGATGCCTCCATGCGATAGCTGATAATGGTTCGTTTCACTCGGTGTGCAACCCCGGGACATTGGAAATTTTATAATTTGGAAACCCTTGGAGGAAACCCTGTTCACGGCGACGATGGTGGACAACAACAATCTACCCATCTACGACGAATGTACTCTACTATTGCAGTTAGGGGCACTGCGGTGGAGGCCTACGCTATCGGTCACGAACATCAAGGGCCTAGATTTCATCTTGGGTGAGATTTCAACCCGTTGCTGCTGCTGTTGGTGTTGCTGTTGCTGTTGGTTGTTGCTGCTGCTACTGCTGCTGCTGCTGCTGCTGCTTCTTCTTCTTCTTCTTCTTCTTCTTCTTCTTCTTCTTCTTCTTCTTCTTCTTCTTCTTCTTTCCTTCTCCTTTCCTTCTCCTCCTCCTCCTCCTCCTCCTCCTCCTCCTCCTCCTCCTCCTCCTCCTTCTTCTTCTTCTTCTTCTTCTTCTTCTTTCTTTTGTTTTACCTTTTGCCGCTGCCTGCCTAGAGCTTGCATTTCATATTTTATTCACTCTGAATTCACCTCCCTTTCCAAAAACAAAACACAAAAAAAAACTCTGAAGGCACTTCGTCCAAAAATGAGGCACTCTGTTTCGTCAGTGTACTAAAGTCAAGAAGTCTGTCCACTCAGGGTTGGCGGGTCTTGTCAAGAAGTATGAACAGCAGAATGAGTTTAACTAACAGAATGGGAGTACAAGTGGGAAACCCTAGAAAGTTGTAGCCCCTAAACGCTAGCCCCACTGTAGCCTAACAATGTATATACATGCAGTTTTGACACACACCCATAGGCAAATTGGGGGAGAGCAAGCACAACAAACTGTCACAAGACCAGTCAAGAGAAGCAACAAAGCAAAGCTCAGGGTGGATCTCAAGATCACCACATTATCTGACCACAAGCAAGCGGCCACAAGGCCAGTTCACATGCAAGGTTCTAATAGCACAACCAATACAATGATAACAACCTAGTAGCAGTAAACATGCAGGTATATATGCATATATATACATATATATATATATCAAAGTACAAGGTAGAGTCAAGAGGCAAGCAAGTGAGGCGTAATAGGCACAAAGCCTAGAGTAGTGCAGAAATGCTGATGATCACCAGACCTTAGGGCTTTGTTGAATATATCAGCAATATTGGTCTGTGAGGCCACGTAAGCAAGGCGAAGCTGACCACGCTGCTGTAACTCTCGTGCGAGAAAGTAACGACAAGCAATGTTTTTTGTTTTGTGGTCCAGTCTCTGCTCCCGGCACAAGGCCATCATAGCCTTGTTGTCAACGTACATAACTGGAGGAGAACGAGGCCGCGCGCCCAAGTCAGTCACCAAATAGGTCGGCCGGCGTAACTCCCGTGCAGCATAGCCCTAGCGCAGATCTTGGCCACAGCTGGAGCTAAGCACAGAAGAAGAGCGAGTGGACCTCCAAGAGAGAGAACCAGTGTCGAGACTGAAAGTGTAACCCTATGACAGCCACTGAGTCGCCTGGTCAGCCCAAGAGACGTCTTAGTGTCCTGTAAGCACAACTGGACTCTGTCCCCCAAGCACAAGCCCCATGCCTGATGTAACGCAGTACCCTCCGCGGAGCACGGTAGTGCTCAAGGCGGTGTTTCCCAGGTGCAACGTAGCACGCCAGGATGCTGAGAGGGTACACCAGGTCAGGTCAAGTGCACGTCATCAGGTACCACAAGCTCTGGATACATACCACTTGGCTCTACGGACTCATCTGAAGAAGGAGCTGAGAGCGACTGTCTGGTAGGCAGAGAAGCGGGCTGTGGCGAGGAGAACTGAAAGCGGAAGCGCTGACGGACCTGCTGCACCATGTGTGACTGAGTCAATGTGGTGGTGCACGCTGCTCCGGCCCAGGTGATCTCCAAGCCAAGATAGCGACGCAGCTCACCCAGATCAGTGTAGATGTGTCACTTCTACAGCTCCGACTTTATAAGGGCCAGTGCCTCAATGTCAGTCGCAAATACCAAGTCGTTTACGTACATGAGGATGTAGAATGGTGGCAGATAAGGGTCGTTGCGCAGAAATAGCAACGGGTCAGTGGTCGAAGGAGCAAAAACAAGAGTGTCGTCCTCAATGTGTCGTGCCACTCGTGGGGCGCCTGACGGAGACTGTAGACTGGCCGCCGGAGGCTCCACTAGGTACCCTCAGGAAATGACCCAATGAAGCCAGGTGGGTGGCACAGCCAGATCTCCTCGTGAAGGCTGCCCCGTAGAAAGTTGTGGAGAAGTCAAAGGAGTGCAGCTCGTAGTCACAATGTGCTGCAACGTGCAGTAGCACCCAAAGAGTGCTCATCTTTGGAGTGGGGGAGAAATTCAGGAAGAAGTCGACCCCCAGACGCTGACTAAAGCCTCGTGCAACATAACGTGCCTTGAAGTTAGGCTGAGAACCTTGCGGCCGCTTCACCCCTAATATCCACATGACATTGACTATGTTTGCTCTAGGAGGGGGAACTGTGTTGACTTAGGTGCCTGTGGACTTCCACGAAGCCATCTCTGCGTCCATGGATGTCTGCCACTAATAGGAGTACTGAACCATGAGCGCCTCTGCGTAAGAGCGCGGGGTCAGGATGTCTAGTGCATCCAGATCTCCCTTAGGGGCAAGCAGCATGGCAGCGAGATGAGGTACTGCAGCTGTGCGGTTCTCCATCTCAAACTGCCTGTCCTCAAGGATGTCACAGCCAAGGGCAAGCTCACCTTCGATGGACGGAGGACAGTCAGAGTCAGAGTCAGAAACAAGTACCCCGCGGCCCTTTCGATAGCGGGCCCCGCGGCCCTTTCGATAGCGGGCCTCGTGGTCCCGTCGTCAGTTGCACGTACGCACAGCAGCAGCCGCGCGCACGTGCAGCTCACCGCCTAAACCGCTTCCCCACCCTCAAACGGCTGTCTTACCCGCCGCCCCATATCTTAGCCGCCCCCCCACGAGTTGAAGTCTGCCGCCCCACCTAACACCCGCTGCCCCAGGACCTGCCTCACCCATCGCCCCACCAGTTACCCTCAGCCCCACCAACTAGCCACACCTGGAAACCATAGTCTACCACCCGTACCCACTGAACCGCACAGAACCGCACAGAACCGCACAGATTTGCACAGAACCGCACAGAACCGCACAGAATCGTACTCCACCCGTGCTAGCTCCCCTGGAACTGCACAGAACCGCATTCCACCCGTGCTAAACCCCTTGGAATCGCACAGAACCACACTCCACCGCTCTAGATTGTTCTTCACCGCTCCCAACCGCACTGAAGTGCCCTCCATCGCTCCCAACCGCATCAAACCGCACACGACCTCTCCCACAAACACCAGAACCGCACTCAGCCGCATTCCACCACACCAGGCCGCTCCCAACCGCATTCTAACCGTCCTACACTGTTCCCAACCTCTCTCAACCCCACCCAAACGTTCACCATCGCACTAGACTGCCATCAGGTGCACCATCAGCAGTATACGCTGCCCCCCAGTGCACCAACAGCAGCTTAGGCTGCCACCAGTAGCACCAGCAGCAACTTAGGCTACCGCCAGCGTACCCCCCCCCCCCCCGTACTAGCTTGCCATGTCGTTGTGGCGACAGCCGCAGCAATAGCAGTGGTCTCAGCAGCAACAGTGGCAGTGGCAGCAGCACAGGTGGCCGCAGCTGCAGAACTGGCGAGTTCAGCTGCAGCGCCTACAGCAACCTCCGCAGCGGGGCCCTGATGGACCCGGCCAGTACATACACCGGTACGTGGGAGCTGCAACTGCTATTGAGCCTTGTGTTTCCAGTCTTGGTGCGAGTGTAGTTTCCGGTCCAGGCGCCTTAGAGGTTCTTAGTGTAGGATTTGCAGCCACCACTAGACTAGTACCAGCCTTTGTCGTTGGCTCGAGTGCGACCTCACCGACTGCACGGCTTTCTTTCACCCTAGACTCTGGAGCGTCCAGCTGTTTCTTTCGCGACTGCACCGACCTCACGCCACTGCACACTCCAGTCACTGTCGCCTTGGCTGACCCCTCCGTAGTGTCTGTAGTTGCTGAGAGCACCACCACTCTCCCGTGTCCAGCAGCTCCCTCTAGGTTTCTGAGAGGTTACTACACCCCCTTGTTCTCTAGGAACCTGGTGGGTTTGAGTCACCTCCACGACCTGGGAGTTGTCACCACTTTCCCACTACACAAACCTGTTGCTTCCTGCACAGTTGGTGCCACTGGGGCGCCTCTAGCCACTTTCCACAGGGAGCCGGGCTCTGGTTTGTATTCACTACACACTGGGTCCCACCACACTGGGTCAGGACAGGTCAGATAGCTGCTGTGTCGTGCAACTGTCGGTCACTCACCCACCCGTCGGTCCTCTGGCACCACCGACTTGGTCACCCGTCGTTCCAACGTCTCAGTAGGATAGTATGTCACCGTCTTGTCTCAGGTCTTCCAGAGTCGCTTGCCCCGCTTCCTCGCTCGCCTGCGCCGCTGTGCACTCCTTGCGTCGAGGGTCGGCAGCGCGCTGCCCCTCACTCCTCCTCGTTCCCCCCCACCACGGCTCCTTTACAGACCCTGCACTTGGACGTCTGGGGCCCCTCCCCGGTCCGTGGCCCACGTCAGGAGCGCCACTTCCTGATTGTGGTGGACGACTACTCTCGCTATACCACGGTTTTCCCTCTGCGACGGAAGGCCGACGTGCCTACCGTCCTTGAGCCGTGGCTACTAGCAAGGGGTGGCGTCCAGGGCCTGTGTGGGCTCCGCCTATACTCGGACCGTGGTGGTGAGTTTTCTTCCACTCGCCTGAAGACGTTCTGTCAGGGTTGGGGGATTATCCAGTCTTACACGCTACCAGACTCGCCGCAGCAGAACGGGGTAGCCGAGCGACGCATCGGCCTGGTCATGGAGGTTGCCCGGACCTCCATGTGCCATGCCGGTGCCCCCCAGTTCTTGTGGCCTCAGGCAGTCCGCTACGCCGCGCACCAGCTGAACCTATGGCCTAGTGACGCACGGCCACGGGTGACGCCGATCTTCCTTTGGACAGGTTTTCCGGGCGTAGCAGCTGACTACCGCGTCTGGGGTTGTCTGGCTCACGTTCGCGCCCCTGGCGCAAACAAGTTGTCTGCGCGCACCCGTGCCTGCGTCTTTCTTGGCTTCCCACTCGACGCCTCACGCTGGGTGTTCTACGACCCTGTTACCTACCAGTTCTTCAGTTCCTAGGACGTCACTTTCGACGAGTCGGTCAGTTACTACAGGAGTCGCCCCCACCGAGGTTCTGAGACCTTTTCCCCCCCGCTCTTCCTCACCACTGACCCCCCCCCAGTCGCCTCGGTAGCCCCCCCCCCCCTTCGCGTCTTGCCCCGTCAGGTGTGTCGCACGTCACTCCGCAGTCGTCTCCCCCGCAGCGTCCAGTCTCTGTCATGTCTGGGGGTGCGGGAGGTGCAGCAGTAGGGGGTGAGGGTACTGGGGCTGCTGGAGCTGGTGGCTCCGGCTCTGGGGGTGCTGGGGGTGTGGATGGGGAGGTCCCTCCAGTGGAGGACACTGCTGCCTCGAGTCGGCAGCCTCGCCCCGCCTCACCCCCTGGCTTCCGTTACTCCCACAGTTCCCTCCCCGCTCGCCTCCGCAGCCGGTCGCTGAGGAGTCTGGGGGTGTTCCTGCTAGAGGTACTGGAGGCCCTGGGGGTGTTGTCGGTGGAGGTTCTGGTTCTGGGGGTGCTGGAGCTGGAGGCGCTGCCACCTTGGCGAAAACACAGCGCACTGTCCATTTCCTGACACGAGAGCAGCGTCTGGTTCGTTTGGAGAGGGAGGAGCGTGAGCGGTTTGAGAGGGCACAGCAGCAGCAGCAGCAGCAGTCTCTGTTGGAGCGTCAGGAGAGAGTAGAGGAGGAGATACGGCAGTAGCAGCAGCTTCAGCAGCTGCAGCAGTCTCGGTCGGAGCGTCAGGAGAGAGTAGAGGGGGAGTCACAGCCGAGTCAAGAGAGAGTAGAGGAGGAGTCACAGCAGCAGCACAAGCAGCAGTCTCTGTCGGAGTGTCAGGATAGAGTAGAGGAGGAGTCACGGCAGCAGCAGCAGCCTCAGTCGGAGCGTCAGGAGAGAGTAGAGGAGTAGTCACGACGGCCGCAGCAGGTACAGTTGCAGCCACAGCAGGAGATTGTAGAGCAGGAGTCCCGCCCGCAGCAGCAGATGTTGTTGCAGCCACAGCAGGAGAGAGTAGAGGAGGAGCCACAGGAGCTGCAGCAGGGGCAGGTACCGCAGCAGCTGTCGACAGAGGAGGTGGACCAGCAGCGACTGAGAGACCTGCCCGACTCAGCACCTGCACGCTTTGTTCGTGGTCCCCAACCGTCCCTTCCTCTTCCCCCTTTCGAGTCCCTTTCCTCGTCCCAGTGGACTCGTCGTTCTCCTGTCAGTCGTGCTATGTCCCCAGAGCCTCGTCGGTCCCGTTACCGTGCCGACCGCCCGTTTCACCTTGTTCTTCGCTCTCGTGTTCCGTCTCCACCTGTCCTTCTACAGCCTCCTGAGTCGTCCTTCACTGTGCTTCACGACCCGTTGTACGACTACCTCCGTGCCTCCCATCCTGTCGTCTCCCGTGTTTTGTCCGCGTTGGTCACTCACCCGACTGCACCCATGTCGTCTGTCTCAGCACTTGTTACCACTGTCGCTGGCTTTGCCTCTTCCCACCGCCTTGACTACACCGCTCACTTGGTGAGTGGCCCTCCTCATTCTCCGTCCTCTAGGGGTGCTCCTGTCTTTTCATTGGAGGTCCTGGAGGAGAGGCAGTTCGAGCTTGGTTTCCTTGCGGCCGCTGTTCCTCATCTCTGCGCCATGCTGCTTGCCCCTGAGGGGGATCCAGACGCCCTTGATATCCCGATCCCTTGCACTCACGCTGAGGCGGTCTCGGGACCCTGGGCTTCGTACTGGATAGCAGCTGAGGAGGCAGAGATGGCATCTTATAGGTCCACAGGCACCTATGTCGACGCCGTCTCTCCACCTGGGACGAACGTTGTTAGTGGCATGTGGCTCTACAAGGTGAAGCAGCCGTCGGGAGCACCACCGATGTTCAAGGCGCGCTACGTGGCGAGAGGCTTCAGTCAGCGAGAGGGGGTAGACTTCTTTCAGACCTTCGCTCCCACCCCGAAGATGACCACTCTTCGGGTGTTGCTGCATATTGCGGCACAGCGCGACTACGAGTTGCACTCCTTGGACTTCTCTACCGCGTTTCTTCAGGGGAGTCTGCACGAGCAGATCTGGCTGCGTCGTCCGCCTGGCTTCACTGGCTCTTTCCCACCTGGGACCCAGTGGCAGCTGCGTCGACTGGTCTACGGCCTGCGACAGGCTCCTCGTGAGTGGCACGACACACTTCGCACAACACTTGCAGAGCTTGACTTCTTTCCGTTGTTTGCTGACCCGTCGTTGTTCGTCTGTCGTGGCTCGGCCGTGTTCTTTGTTCTGGTCTACGTTGACGACCTGGTCTTCGCCACTCCCGACCGACGCGCACTGGCCTCCGTGAAGGAGGAACTGCAGAGGAGACACACTTGCACTGACCTTGGTGAGCTGCAGCGCTACCTTGGCTTGCAGATCACCAGGGACAGGGCAGCTCGCACCATTACGCTGACGCAGTCGCATATGGTCGAGCAGATCCTCACGCGGTTTCGCTTCCCGTTCTCCAAGGTACAGCCCACCCCTCTTGCTGTGGATCATGGGCTCACGGCTCCACCTTCGGACGAGCCTTTTGAGTCCAGTGGTCCATATCCTGAGCTGGTGGGTTGTCTCATGTACCTGATGACCTGTACTCGCCCAGACCTAACTTACCCTCTTAGCGTTCTTGCGCGCTTTGTTGCGCCTGGGAGACACCGACCTTCCCACTGGTACGCTACTAAGAGGGTAGCGAAGTATGTGGCGAGTACATAAGGCATGGGACTTGTCCTTGGAGGGAAGCAGCCAGTTACACTTACAGGTTTCTCGGACTCGTCGTGGGCCGACGACGCTGAGTCGCTGCGGTCTACACAGGGTTACTGCTTCAGCCTTGGGACCGGAGCTGTTTCGTGGAGGTCGACTCGGGCGTCGTCCGTCTCTAGTTCCAGCTGTGAGGCAGAGGTGTACGCTGCGGCCATGGCCGCCCAGGAGCTTCGCTGGCTGTCTTTCCTTCTCACCGACCTTGGTGAGCGGCCTCGCTCTCCCCCAGTCTTGTTCGCTGACAACAGGTCTGCTATCCTGTTGTGCGAGGAGCCCCGACTGGTTGGGAAGGCAAAGCACATCCAGCTTCGTTCCTTCCTTCTGCGAGAGATGCAGCAGCGTGGCCAGGCACTCGTGCGACGTGTGGTCTCTCAGGCCAACACGGCAGATATTTTCACCAAGGCGCTGCCGCCTTGTGACCACCAGCGTTTCTGCACCCAGCTAGGCCTTGTGCCTACCGGCCCTCACTTGCTTGCGTAGAAATGCTTTGTCTTGTACTCTTGCGTCTTACTATATATCCGATATATGTGCTTGTGGACAGGCCTTGTGGCCCTTTGCTTCTGTAGAGATGCTTGTCATGCATGTCGTGTACTCTTGCATGTTTTATATCTGCTATATCCTTGCATGTGGACTGGCCTTGTGGCCTCTTGCTTGTTCTCGGACTGTGTTGTGACCTTGAGCTCCACCCCGAGAGTTGCTTTGTTCTTGTTAACTGGTCTTGTGACCGTTGCTTGTTCTTGCTGATTGATCCTGTGACCCTTGCTCTTGGGTTGTGTGTTGCTCTCCACAGGACTACCGTCACCAAGACTATGGGGGTGTGTCAAACTATAGTTGTTATAGTTTGTATTGTTTAGTCTAGGTGGTGTATACATTGGTTAGTGCTCGGGTTAGGTTTGCTATATCTACCCTTGTACTTGCTCATTCTAATCATTACATTCTCATAACTCAAACACTGGCGTCTGCTGCGACGGTACCCGGCCCCTACTGCTGCACCTGTGGCTCCGCCTCTGCCCTCTCCTGCTGCGACTGCAGCTGCACCCGCTGCTTCGACCGGGACTCCTGCGCTACCCACTCCTGCTGCGGCCGCGACTCCTCCTCTACTCTCTCCTGCTATGTGTGTAACTGTACCTGTTGCTGCGGGTGGGACTCCTGCGCTACCCTCTCCTGGTGCGGCCGGGACTGCTCCTCTACTCTCTCCTGCTGTGTCTGTAACTGCACCTGCTGCTGCGGGTGGGACTCCTGCTCTACCCTCTCCTGGTGCGGTCGTGACTCCTCCTCTACCCTCTCCTGCTGTGGCTGTGACTCCCCCTCTACCCTCTCCTGCTGCGGCTGTGACTCCCCCTCTACTCTCTCCTGCTGCTGTTGCTGCTGCTGCTGCTACTGTGCCCTCTCAAACCGCTCACGGTCCTCCCTCTCCAACTGTCGCGATATATGTTTATATATGTTTATAACTGCCTATAACTTTAGCTCCAGTGTAGTTATGATTCTTTGTTGTTGGTGATGCACCTTTGCTAGTTTGCTATATGTACCTTGTATGCCATAGTGAACAACACACATTCTCACTTTCTCTTGACCACTATTCTCTCGACACCCGCTTGGCCTAGGCTTCTAAGCCTAGGCCCTAAACCCGGTTCCTAGTTAGCTTAGTATTGTGACATGGTATAGAGCGATTAAGTTCCTGACCTAAGTTAATGGGCCCACCCATTCGTGGCACGGCGCTCGCTGCGACGGGCGTGGCAGCGAGCCGGCCGCGTTTCCCTCATCGCCAGCCCATCGATTTTTCCCTTGTCGCCTGCCCGTCGCCAACCCGTCGCGTTTTCCCCCCGTCGCCAGCCCGTCGCGTTTCCCCCGTCGCCAGCCCGTCGCGTTTCCCCCGTCACCAGCCCGTCGCGTTTTCCTCGTCGTCAGCCCGTCGCATTTCACCACCCTCACCAGCTCTGCCCGCGCCTACGCCTGCTGCCGAGTTTGCGCAAGAGAGGGGAAGGGGGGGGGGACGGCATCGGGAATGAAGGGGACGGCATCGGGAATGAAGGGGATAGCGACGGTGGCCGTCGCCGCGGCCCTTTCCCCCCCCGTCCCGTTTTCTTCCTTCCCATCGCCTCGCTCCGCCCGTCGCATTCCCCCGGCCCCTTGCTTGTCACCCCACCCCGTCGCGACTATTCGCGTATGCAGCGGCGGTCGCTGTGGGTGGGAGAGGGAGGAGGGGAAGGGATTGGCGGCGGAACGCTGTGGGGGGGAGAGGGAAAGGGGGAAGGGAGTGGCGGCGGAATGATGTGGGGGAGAGAGGAAAAGGGGGAAGGGAGTGGCGGCGGAATTGCACCATCGCCAGCCGCCAGCACCAGGCACCAGCACCAGCGCCAGCCGCCAAGACCAGGCACCAGCTCCAGCGCCAGCCACGAGCACCAGGCACCAGCGCCAGCCGCCAGCACCAGGCACCAGCACCAGCGCCAGCCGCCAGCACCAGGCACCAGCACCAGCGCCAGCCGCTAGCACCAGGCACCAGCACCAGCGCCAGCCACCACCACCAGGCACCAAGGCCAGCCGCCAGCACCAGGCACCAGCACCAGCGCCAGCACCAGGCACCAGCACCAGCGCCAGCCGCCAGCACCAGGCACCGGCACCAGCGCCAGCCACCAGCACCAGGCGCCAGCGCCAGCCGCCAGCACCAGGCACCAGCACCAGCGCCAGCCGCCAGCACCAAGCACCAGCACCAGCGCCAGCCGCCAGCACCAAGCACCAGCTCCAGCGCCAGCCACCAGCACTAGGCACCAGCACCAGCGCCAGCCGCTAGCACCAGGCACCAGCAACAGTGCCAGCCGC